CAGTTCTCATTTTGTATCGAAAGTTTATATTGTGCTGCTTTCCTAATATTCTAGTGGCGTAACGCCGTTGCAAGCGAGCAAATTTATGACGATGTTTAATTATATAGGTGTAGTTCTTTCATTAATTGAGAAAACTGTAGGCAGGCGTTAGGGCATTTTGCTTCGAGAAATATAAGTTGCATATGTACACAGTAAAGACACACATACACAAACACACACCCACACACACACACACGAACACATACAATAGCGGCCTTAGAACAGCCGCTATTTTTGTGCGCCATGCATTCTTTGTCCGACTACGTTAGACTTGATTGATCTCGTTTTCAGACCTCATACTGTCGAAAAGGGGAAATTTACAGTGCGCATTAATACAGAGGCACGCTATATTCAGCTTCGGCAACTATAAACGTTTGGCGCAGGGCTACCCAGTATTCTTTGGGGGGGGGGGGTGCAGCAGAACGCCTAACTTTGGCAATTGGTGGTCACTGTGAATATGTGTAAATACTTTTAATATGCCTTGAAAAGTTTATTTACGAAAACATTTTGTGATGCAGGGGGTTCAGATTCCTGTCCTCTCCCGTCTCTATTTACGGCCTCCTGGTTCTGCGTGCGTTTGACACGGTATTTTTTTCTTCTCACAGCTTTCTGAACGCTGCTAACTTCCCATAAACCGACTCAGTTATTCGTGATATTGCAGACGCCTGCTCAATGAAGAAAGAGTTGAGAAATCAAAATAAGACACGCCCTCTAATTTTTGATCTTGAAGAAGGACGTTTATGGAGCTCAAATTCAGAAGATTGGCATGTCATACTTAAGAGATTATGACATCATGTACTAGACATGAGTGATGGGAAGGTACGAAGAAATCTGCCTCAAAAAAGCGTACCGGAGACGCCGAAGCGCACACCAGTTCCTGCGCCAGGCGCGCGGCTCTTTCAGTACTATTCGACTGAAGCGCCGCCACTACGGGCAACGCGGAGGGCATCAAGTGGCGATACGTGGTCACGCCACTCAATACTTCTAGTACACTCTGCGGTAATTTCCAGAGATCAAAAGGTTTTAGGTCAGGCCTGCATGCTGCGCCCTCTCCGAGTAACAAGTGCAAGAACAACAACAACAACAAAAAAGACGTGACCTTCGAAATGGCATGCGCGCGGCAAGCGTTCGCCTCTTCGGAGACTTCAAGAGAAAAAAATATATGTGGCAGTGATCAAGAGATGGCGCAGCCATCGGAACGTCGTTGGCAGTGCATGCATGGCTTTAGGGTCATTTTTTTTTCGGAAACCTTATAAGCTTTAGGAAGTATTTTGTTCATCATTGTGGAACCGTTCATAAACATCCGATTGCCTAGGAATCATATACAATATATTTATGTGTGCGCATGTGGTGGTACGGCAACGAAACGTAAAAAAGTTGACCAAAGTGTACTTGTGACTTGTGCCACTATAGTCAATAAAAATTCATTGCTGTATAAGCTTGCGCGTTTTTTGAGAAGGGTGCGAGTAAACACGTCCAAGTGCGTGTGGTTGTGCCGAATCGTTGATTGTACTGTACTTCGTTGGGTTCACTTTCTATGCAAGTATGTGTACTATTTATCTTTATGTGCATGTGTGGTTAAATGCATTGCTTCAACGTATATACATATATATTAGGCGTCCGGTGCCAGTGGTGAGTAATCATGGAATGGGCTCCATGGGCTCATTCACCAACTATCCGCTTTGTAACCGTGTGGTAGCGTCAACGTACGTCGCCACAGGCAATACTTCTTTTGGTATATTTCAGTCCCTCCAGGTGGTGCTAGCTACCGCCTACTTCACGTATGTGACGCTATCACACCTCCAGCTAAATACATAACGTTGAACATCTATCTATCGAAACTGCACTGCCGAGCCGGAATGATTTCGCTAAGACCGAGTCTACGGTTTGAAGGCACATCTCGTGGCCTGCGACCCCGTAAATGCGTCGATAACACCGCTACACTATGTGAATTTGCGACAAATAAATACAGCAAGCCTTGGATGCACTCAGCCTGAGAGAACTCCGTAGTATCTGTATCTTTCAAAGTGAACGTCGTCTCGCTTGCCGAATGAAACCTACTAGCTCTGTTGTTCTGTTTCGCGATGTTTTCAACACCACAGGTTTGTCTGCTTGCTTTTATAATAATTTCATTCAAAATCAAGCTCAGCAGGACCATTTCCTGCAAATGTTAGTGCCGTGTACTCCTTATCAGTCGAGGGTGAACGCATTAGCAAGGCCTACTCCCTTTGGTAACCCGGGGCCAGCCATCTTGTTTCTGAAGGGGAGATACAGTTTCTCCAAGGCAAAAGGGAGCATCGTTTCTGCATTTAAGGATGATCATTGGGGACATCACCATTTTTCTCTAAATGAAAAGAACGTCACTTCATTTTTAATAGTGTACAGTGACTTGCATGAGTGAATAAAAAATGATTGAAAGAAAACGCAATGCCGAGTACCTCGCCAACCATTGAAGGAAAACAGCCTGCGCATGTACGCCACAGATTCCGAGCAGCAGCGTCGCAGGCTTTCCGCTTCATCACCGATAAGAGAATCCAGAGTAGAAGGTACACGGCAGGTCGATAATGTCGAATGTGCACGCTGGATATTTTTTGTGCCACGATAGCTAAACACTAAATTTAGTGCTATTAAGTGCTACGCACAACAGTCCTATCTTTCAGTCTTATCTTTCAATTGTGTAGAGAAGAGCAGTTTTTTTTTGCGAAAACGTTGGTTCTCCTTGCTTTAAGTATTGCGCTTACTACGATGCCTCTAGCGCATTTATTTTTCGCGTTCATAAGGGCAGGATTGAAGGATTATGTTTTTTCTTAAGCTGCGACGGGGTAAATTGTTTTCATCCCCCTTCGGAAGGCTGAACCTGGAGGTTCTTAGAAGTCTAGGGGCTGTTTCTTTCATGTTCCAGACGCGCCCGTGACGCCACAAACCCCTCCCGAGTGGCAAAGAAGACATTGACGCCAATCACAAGTAGTGAATAGGCTGCAAGCAGAGAGGACTGCAGCCAGAGTACGGCCCCTTCCTGAAAAACACCTCAGATCCCCACATCGACAGCAGCAAAGATTATCGCCCCTGTGCAGCCTGCCCGAATGCTTCTCCGGCAGACCAAGAAGCCATCAACCTTCCTCGGGTGGTCAATTGAAGACCCCGAAAGCTGGCTCAAGTCATACGGTCGAGCTGACGTTTTCAATGCCTGGACCAACGAAGATAAGCTTCAACATGTGAACTTTGCATTAGGAGATGCCACTCGCACATGGTTTAAGAACTAAGAGCGAACACAGGCAACATAGGCCATATTTCACACCTGGTTACTCGCCACATTCACGAACGTCGTCTGCAAGAAGAGTGCTGAGGCTGTGCTCAAAACACCGCATACAGCTTCTAATGAAAGTGCCGCTCTAAACACTGAAACGAGCATTCAGGGCTGTAAAAACTGTATATCACCTGGGGCACACACCCACATGCTTGTCCACATATTCGCCCTTGGTATGTAGATAAGTGCCACACGTGTCTGGTGGAAAGGCTTTGCTGGCGTGTGCCAAAGGTTTGTCACAATATTTATGTCAAGATAAGACAGTCGTATTCATAAACTCATATTGTCCTTTCATAGTAGTTTTGCTTTACCCTTAATTAAGGGGGTGTTATTTGCTCAAATAGATAGATAGATAGATAGATAGATAGATAGATAGATAGATAGATAGATAGATAGATAGATAGATAGAAGTACCTGTAGTACGCGAAAATATGCTTAACATTTCAAACCAAGCTGGCGTTATGGCTTTCTGCCGCCTAAAGTGGTGGAGCACTGTGGAAATGTATGGGACCACTGAAAGCGTTTGTCTTCTTCACTTTTTCTGCTCTGGTGCCAACTTGCCACTTGCTATAACATCTTTAGACTACGTTCGTTGGTAGCTACTATTACAACATCAAGGTAACCTCTATGACGAAGTTTTGCAGCTTGTTCGCAAATGCTTTGGATCAACAGGTGCGGCTGAGACTGCATTCACTAATTCGCTATGCTGTTTTTCAGAAGTATTGAGGAATCAGACTGGAAGATGACTCAACATTTTTGCGAACTTTATTGGTTCGCAAAAACAGAATATCTCCTCAGGGAAAGAATATCTAAATGACGGTTCAGCCTTTCGTTGGAATTAGCACAAATACATCTTAGAACATTTGCGCGTGGGCACACAGGGACACAGAAGCGACAAACGAAGGGACGTAATCTAATATCTGGTTTATATTTGAAAACGTTCTTTTAAAAAACCCTCACATCAACGCAATCCGGTCAAAGCATTTGAACTGCGCACATAGCACAACTTATAATGATAAGTGAGCACAACTCACTGAACAGCTGACAAGAGCGAAGTTTCCTTCTCAAGGAAGGCAACCGAAGGGTGCCTTACACATTTTCTTTTCAGCCTGTCAATGTGATAGGCTTCCATTATTTCTCTTAAACTTCAGTTCTGCTGTCTATATTCGAAGCGTGTTTCTAAAATAAGGCGAACTTAGGCCCTTGTCGCAATGCAGCGCTGAATGTGTATTAGGGCAACTATTTCAAGATGAACATGTTTCAACTAGGCGAATCGCAGTTCTGCGTTAGCGCAAATACCAAGACGATAGAAGGACAAGCGCAATACTTCTCTCGTCTTGAATCTTGTGCTAAGTATATCGTAAGAATGAACCAACTCGCCCAACAAGTCACTCAACTGAAGTTTGAAGTACTGCAGCGTATACCATAGGAGGGTATCTCGTGAATGCAGCTACCTGAACTTGCTCTCTCTTTCTTGAACACCGTCAAAATGTTTACTATTTTTTTCAATCCTACCAGTCAACAAAAGCCAAGTAGTCATTAACGCAGTGAATGACCTTGCCCGCCAGACCAAGACCAAGAGGCCATACGTGCAGCTTCTGTATAGCTATAATTGCCCTATCGCTCCGTCCCCCTTCGCTAAAAAGATCGTACAATGGGTGGGTGCCATGGTGAACAATTCATACGTGAGATCTCTGCACGAAAAAGATTTCCTTCGGAAGTGATGAACGTCGAAGCCAGGTAGCACCTCAGCACCTCGTGAAAGCAACCAACCTACAGGCCCGAACGAGTCGTGAACGCATTTTCGTCATCTTGATTGCTTTTACACTGCTTTTCACGTCGCAGCCACAGGGGTAAGGACTTGAGAAACAAACAGGATAGCAGACGACAAATTCAGTTAGCTCCGCTTGACTGTCACTAATCAAACAGCGAAGCTAGTGGCACGCAGCGGGGTTGAGAGAAGCGGAATGAAGTGCGATAAAGGGAGAATCAAGTGCTAGCATTGTCGCACAGAGTGGGAAAAGTGGCGAGAGCAGTCATCGGTGTAGTCGTGAGCAGTGACAGTAATGCGAGAGGTGAGCGTAGTGGTAAGTTGCTTGGGTAGGGAATACTGGGTGGAGTGGCACATATTCGTTGCGTGATTTACCCACTTTCTATCGCTGAATCCCACTACCATGGTACCCCGGCATGAAAACCGCGACCAAGAATGGCTTCGCTGTTAAAAGAGAAATAGCGAGGTTGCCTTGTAAATATATGCGAGGTAGTTAGTCAAGTCAGCCCAGCATCTTCAGGGTGTTGAACGGCACGTGGTTATCATAGTCACCTCAAAAACCTCATATGGTATAGTGACAGAAGGCGGTTCGTTTGTGTTCGTAGCACGTACGCCCAGTTGCTTGGTAGGCAGTGGTGACATTTCCGCGTACCTACGGTAATGTTGCGCATTCACAGCGAAGGTGTTCAAGGGCCTCGGAGTCGCCGCAAAATTTGCAGGGGGAGCGTCTTTAGCGCACTGGCAAGCTGCCTATCACAAGAAATTAGTGCGCAGGAGAAGAAGCGTTCTGCTCTCCAGCATGGGGATACCACCCTCCAAGAGTGGCTTTGAAATTTGCAGTTGGTCACTCTGGCGTACAGGTTGGATGGTTATCAGTTTAGCATTGCCCGGTCAAATCAGACAGACTTACTGCTCATGTCAGCGGCACACTAAAGGGATGGCCATGTTTGCGGTGAGGGTGACCGCGTGTTCGTTACCGATGGCTTGTGGCGTCATTCAGTGAAATAAGATAAAAACCCTCGCGGCCGCTAATGCAGAGAGCTAGAACCTCAGCAAGATTCCTGTTAGCAGAGCTCGCCGGTCGTACATGAGGCCCGTGAACGCTAGTTTCGAGTGGCAGAGCAACAGTATAGAAAAACATCCTTGAAGTAGCACCAAAAGAGCACAACCGTTGGTTGCTAAGGAAAGTCCGCAGCCAGGACACCAACGTCCAGTTGGCGACCAACTTAATCTGTCGTAATGGAGCACACAGCGTAGGGCAGGCGGAATTGCCGGCTCAACACACTAGCTGGGATGGTGCAGGCTATAGTGCGAATGCGTTACCCTGAATTGAATCACCCGTCAAATCAGCAGCATTCGCTCTAGCTGCTAGGGTACTTGCTGGGAGCAGCCTGCCTCAGTGCAGCAGCTCGGGTCTACCTTTAGATCAATAGACCGACCAAAGAATCTATATCGGCTGGGTGGTTCTGGGGTGGAGACAGGGCGACAACTCCCGGGGGCCATCTGCTCACACAGCAGGCAACGACCTGTGTGAGGCCAGCTGGCAGCAAAATTCACCCAGCAGGGCTCCGCCATCTGGAGCACGCTAAAGGCACGGTGAACGGTAAAAATCAAAATTCGAAACCTGAAAGAAGCTTTCGAAAGAAGGAGAGATAAGTAATATATAGTAGACCGCACAAAGGCATATGTATTCTCTACGGTAACAAAATGATATCTTTCTCGCATGATATAAAGGGAGTGGTGTCTTCATTTCATGCGAAATACAAACAGCGAATCCCCTAGGTCGCTCCTCGAGTGCACTTCATATTGATGATCTTGAGCGGCATATCAACATGAGGAATGGATACCCATGCTGCGTTTGTTACTTCTTTCCGGCCCCTGTGACGCAGACCGCAGGCACCGCTACTACGAGATGAAACGGGTCTGCTACTATCTGCTTCCGCGGAGAGGTGGCGCCACAGATTGGTCATCAGAGCTGAATCCTGATGTGCTCGACGACACACTGTGCACACACGTATTGGTCGGTGCGCTGGCAGTGTCGGCTCAGGGACGCCTGGTGACGAAGCTTCCAAAGCACGAGGACCTCATCAGCAAGATTTCGCGAAGCAAGCTCAAGGTAAGTTGCTTACTACCTCCATAGTGCTGAAGAGCAGAAATTCATAAATTATTAGCGCAGATTGCACCAAGTCACGCTTCGAAGCTGCAACACAGAAGAGCTTGCGGGCACCAATTTGGTCCTGGTTTTATTGATGTTTCACCCTTTCCCACTCCTTGCTATGCTATCATATACATGTAATCGCTTGCTGCTTTTCAGTATATTCTTGAGTGTCATCTTATCTCTGTCAGTGGGGCAGATATAAGACGACACTCAATACACTGGCAGCAAACACCAATTAGGATGCGTGTACAGACGTTCTCCATAAGGTAAAGACACATGAAACAACTGTTAGTATTAGCAGAACACTTGAGCACCTGCAGACAAGAACCGATATACAGAGGTAATAACACAAGCGCTTTCGCCCAACTACTGCTTAATAACAACACTTTCTTTCATAACGTCACAAAACTGGAATTTCATCATCAAGTGAAGACACTTACACATCGCGTTTCTTTGGGTTATAAAAAAAATTGGCAGATTCTACATTCCTTGGGAATCAATATTATGCGAAGCATGCGGACGGAAGGGGACTGCGTTTGACTTTTTTCATTAAGTGAGATGTTATGAAATGACGCCTAAGACATGTACACATAATATGCTCACAGACTAATGTTAAACAGTCGCATGTTTACTGTTGCGTAACGATGCCAACAGCAACATGGATAGTAACGATACTAGGAGTGGTGAGCTGAGATGTGGAATGGCGGTCCTTGATGAGAATGGTGACCTTGAACACTGCGATATAAATAAGCTTCAATGCACGGCGCTTGCCTATGATTGTCGTTAACCCTATGTTACAGCGTTACAGCTAGAATACTCGATTGTCACGCGGAATGCTGGAGTTCGATATCTGCGGAACCTTCACGTTTTTTTCTACAATTGTCGGGAGAATGCAGGTAAATGAGAGCGTTTTCTTAACGCTCCCGCTTTAAAATTACCGATGAGGGTCTCCGCTATTCCTGGGTAGATAAGAAGTGTCAATCACCAGGGGCACACAGCCACAAACCAGTGGTACATACCCGCCCGTAGTTAAGTGCAACTGTCAAGCAGAAAGTGTTTGACAACGTACGCTATGGAATTGTGACATTATTCATGTTATACCCAGCGAGTCGTATTCGTCAATTAATCTTACCCTCCCATAGTAGTTTAGGTTACACAAGTTCAGAGGGTGAACACGAGAGCATCCAGACATAGGCGGCTAGATAGATAGGTATAAACATAGGGGCTCAAAGCCCCTGCAGTACTGAAAGAAATGCTTCGCAGTTAATAATAGACGCTTACTTGACACATGAATGACTGTCACGCATATTCTCGTGCCCGGTTTGCTCATAGGGTAAGGTGAAATAAATCTGAGAGGCCGATCATATCCACTAAATCTCACTACTCCTTTTAATAGAATTCATGCGCATGAAGACAAACACAGCCAGAGATAAAAGAAAGTTGGTGGCAAAACTAGGTGCTTTGCTGGCAAAGCTCGTCTAACGATGATAATCTTTCGTCTTGAGAATAAATTGTTCGTTTGGCGTTCTATACGAGAAAATATTGAATAGGCGCTGCGTGAGATATAGATGCAATTAAGCAGTAACTTGAAAAAGAAAACGAAGTTTTGCTAGAACTCAAGGTCACGGTAGGTGGCTGTACCATGTAGTTTGGTGAAGCGTAAGAAACACCAGTTTTTTTTATGATAACCTTGCGTAGCCAGCGCCACGTATAAGCCCTCCTGTCTTTACGATTATACATCTATGCATTTTAGAAATAATGTAACAGACTATCTAATCACTGTATACTGACGTTGCCAAAATATGCGTTTTATTATTTTTTTGATTGACAATGTCTTAACGTATGAACGCGAAAAACCAGATCAAGATGAATGGCCCATTAGGAATGGGTCAAAATTTTGCCATTTTACTGAATCGGGTGACAGAAGCAGACAGACACACACACACATATACACGCAGACAGACAAACAGACAGACACACACACAGACAGACAGACAAACAGACAGACAAACAGACAGACAGACAGACACGCACACCGACATATAGACAGAAAGAGCAAAATATATGCGTAGGAATATTCCACGAAAGACTATCGTCTTTAAAAACCTGAGTCTCGTGTGCAACGTCTGTTACCATGCTCGTTTAGCTCTTTCGCACTTGCGGCTCCAGCGTGCCCTCTGGTCAGTCGGGACACCAATTTTAGCGTGATGACGACATGCCGAGTCTGTGCTGAGCGGAGACGTGCAGGCTGAGCAGCCACAGCAGATGTAGTTTTGAGAGCAGCTCACCGAGGCAAACGCTTGCGTAAAACATTTGGGCAAGAACAAGGCAGAACATCAGCTGCTGCCGGCTCCTGGAATGCTGCCTTCACCCTCACGTGATCTGCACTTGCCGAGCTCTTCCTATATGGCGTCGCCGCGCGCTTTGTTCATGACCTTTTTTTTTCTCTTTTCTTGCCTCTTCGATATTATGCACTTGTTTTCAAACGCCTTATTTTTTCCTCTCCTTTAGATCACTTTACTCATCGTGACAATAGCTCAGCCTATTTCAGAGTTTTCGCACCACTAACTTTCGGCACCACTTCCGCCAGGTGCTTTACTGCATCGCACCACACTTAGCTGCATCACTCTCCACTTCACGGCACAACACTTGACGTCTCGGCACTTTTCAACTCATTGTTTCACACCGCAACGGCTTACACCAACGCACATATTCCTTTATGTGTCGCTAAGAAACGGTCACACGTCAGTGTCTCACTGAAAAAAAAATCACTATTGATAAAGTGTCACTACCGGGTCGCCTGCATCATCACTCTGTTGAAAATTTTCCCTGCGCCTGTAACGCCTTCCCCAAACCCTCACAAAGAACTTGATGTCACTTGGCATACACGGCCACCAGAGCCTATCTGCTGACACTGTCCTGATCCCCTTTTTCACGCGTCGATGGCGTTCTGAACCAGCATGTGCACGATTGAGGAATTCAAGCCCCACGATACAGCTAGCTGTTGCGTCTTTTCTCTGGTGTGTATCTTGATTCGGTAGTACAGTTCTCCGACCTTCTGAAAGTTGTGCATTGTCCGAATTTCTTACACCGCACCCATGAGCCCTGCCGCTTAAAACACCACCGCAGGGTACAGTACGCTTCCTGCCTCTTTCTTATTTCTTATTTCGATAAATTCTATAGGATCTGTAACTCATTCTGCTTCATGACATTCTTTCTTATTCCCCATTGATGCTCGTAGCTTTTTTTCACTGCATGTGTTTACCCTTTTCTGGTGAGCGCCCTTCGTAATGCTTTTCCGCAAGGTTAGGGTGGGCGAAATGTAACTACGTTGATGTTACCGTAGCAAAATCGATGGCAGTAATGTTTTACCCACGTATCAAACAATTTAAAGCGGCTCCTAATAAATCGAAACAAGACACAAATAGAAAAAGTACCATCTTTCATTTGCCTAACATATATTTCTCTGACACTATATCATGAGATTGGCAAGTCAGTCAGTAGTTATTTAGAGCAATAGGCACTGTGCGGCACCATTTCATTTATCTCACTATGTCGAATGATATTGTTACAAGGCATGGCGCATGAGCCTGCCATGGCGGACGAAGAAGGAGAAAGAGCTGATGTGCCGTGCGAAATTCTGGCGGCTACTCACAGGCACAATTGCATGTATATATTGTGATATATTTGCTTGTCTTCCTTGTGTCTACATTTCTCCTTGACAAAATGGCGGAAGTGTGGGGTGGAAGAAACGCTGCAAAATGGAACTCCACAGTGGTCGCCGATTTGGAGTTTTTCATAATAAAAAACAAGTCCGGTGCCGCAACCTCTTCTCCATCGACCACGCCAACGTCTGTACCGACCACTTCAAGGCCTATCTCGGCCACAACGCTGCCACCATACGTGCTGACAAATCCGAAAAACGTTGGGACGTTCTGCGGTACAGATGACGTCGACGTCGAGCTGTTGACTGCGAATATACCAGTGCGGTCAATCAGCATTACCCGTTTATCATGCTGGTCAATGTACTCTTCTACCTGAAAGGTACGGCGAAGGTATGGTACGAGAATGATGAGGAGAAGTTCGGAAGCTGGGGCACTTTTCAGCAAAAACTACCTGACTGATTTGAAAGCCCATAGGTGGAAAAGCAGCATCAAAGAAACAGCAATCCGTACGTATTCAGACATTGACTGAATTGTACATCTCGTATGTTTAGCACGTGCTGGCTCTTTGTTGCAATGTTGCCAGCAAAATGTTGGAGCCACAGAAGATGATCACGTGCTGAAGACAATAGCGTATGACGCTTTCATTTGTAATGTGCTGGAATTGTGCAACCGTCAATGAACTATCGAGAAATCCCGGCGTTTTGAAGAGGTTAAAATCCGGTGTATCTCAGAGTCATTCACTCCGCTGCTAAGCACCGCTGTGGTGCACTCATACCAATATGTACTGACCCTCCATGTTCTGTCATCACCGGAGTCTCATATTAGAGGTTTTTAGCAAGCTACGGAAACACGTTACCGAAATACGACACGGTCGCTTTGCTTATGCGCGTACAAAGGTCGCGCATGCACACTCGTGAGCCGGTTCCATATTGCCGCCTTTTCGTAACGTGTTTCCGTAGCTTGCTAAAGATCGCTATTTATTTAGTCATACTGTTTACTGCGGATCAACGCAGAGAGGGTGAGGTATTGAATTACTCAAGATTGCATAAATAGTTGAAGATCATTTGTAAAAAAAATTCCGTAACATATTGCCACGCTGTGTTGGTGGCAGAAGACTAGAGCGAAGAAGTGAGTGGCAGCTGTGGCGGAGTAAACAGTCCTCCACTTCCAGTTCCTGTCTATCGTTTCCTCTCACGACAGACTGGTGGAGGTGCTGGGTACTGTACTGCAACGTGTTATGCCTGCCTAGTCCTGAACCATGAAGCAACCACCACCCGTGCACCAGGGTCTGCT